ATGGCGTCGAAGAGTAGTTGTTGGATTACCAGTTGAATAAAGTTTCGCACATAAAATGCATTTGTAGTTTTTAATTGTCCCATTTTCCTCATCTTGAACTCTATGAAAAAAATTCCCACACATCTGAATTGTGAGCTTTTATATTTGTGGGAGTTTCCTTTTCAGTTGCCAAAGAATCGGAGGTAACATCTGAATTATTGTCGTCATTTTGATCATTTTCAAATAAAATTACACCAGACATAGTTGCTCAATGAATGCATGCAAATTAAAAAAAATCTTATTTAAGTTAGACGCGTAAAAACACGTGGATAATCATTTGATAATCTAATTGAACCGGTCTTTAAGATCGCAGTCTGTCAATTTGATCTCAGTCCAGTCTACCCCTTAAACTGGACCGAAACCGGTCCTATGATCAGGACCGGTCTGAACCGTCCAAAGTTGACCTTTAACATCTCTATTCCACACAGCCCCAAGTATATAAAGATCATATAAAATTTCTCTCTTTAAATGCACACCCTCCTTAAATGCACATTTTTTCAAATTTTCACTATGGTCCCAAGGGAGGTGTATTTAGAGAGGTCTCACTGTAAGTGGTTTTTAGGTTTTACATATTAAAAAAGTTAAATTTCGTAATTATAAAATATTCTTTGATTTGATTGGTCAATTCAAAAACCTAAAATGGTTAATTAACGCCCATCCCTAGACGTGACTGTACATTTATAAATCTCCTTAACCGTTTTAAGTATAATGCCACGATCTTCATATCTTATTGAAGATCTCCCTTTAAGAATAATTCACCAGCTAGAAGTTTTCCAATATCCAAAATTCCTGGTCATATTAATGAAATGTCAAATAATTCAAATATTCCGAGAATCCCCACACCAGCTAATAGTGCACCTTCATCAGGTTCACATGAAGTATTAATAAATGAACGGATAACCAAAATTTTCTTTAAAATTGGAACGAGAGAAGAAACGAAAATGGTAATTATAGAGAAAATTAAATAAACATTATAATAAATAATAATTAGTTTGAAATTTTGTTTATTCAGGGTCTCTATGAATTATATGAAATTAAAAAACAACACCCTGAAATGGAAGACGAGATATCAACAATGTTATCTAAGCAAGGTCCATATTTCCAACGTTATGTTCACCGTGGACTTGCCAACATTGCTATAGACGAAGAGGAGAGAGCTAATATAATTAAAAACCAATGTATGTTATTTAAATTTTGTTTCTATTTTCTATTAGCTTGACCCATAATTTTCATGAATTTTTCATTGAATATTTTTAGCAAAGAATCATGATAATACGGAGGAGGGTCTAGACGAAAAACAAAAATATATTTTGAGGATAATACGTATGTTTGAGGATCGGAGCTGAAAAATAACAGTTAATGAAGATACGTGTTAAATGAATATACGTTAGACCGTATAAATATATACTTTTTTTTTTAGTCAATAAAAACCAATTTCAATATCATAACATGAATTTGAGACAATTACTTTTGATTTATAAATTAACATAAGAATTTTTTTTTTTTAAAAAAAAAAGAATTGGCCCTAAAAAATTATTTATTTATTTACTAAATAAATATAATGGTATCCCCATAATTCCAAAATCGTATACAATGTTCATCAATTAGGCGCTTTTAATATTTGCACGATTATTGTGTACAATGCTTGTTGTAGGTTTTGGATCCGGTGGTAATCGAGCTAAAAGTTGCAAAGGATAATCAACCTTTCATCAATATTTGACGATACTTCGTCGCAGGAATTATGTTGATATGCCAAGTGTAGATAGGTAAGCTCATTGAAGAAGGAAATTTTGTAGATTGTGTAGGAATTGATGATTCGACAGTATTAATTGTTGGTGTATTTGAAGGATAATATGAACTATTTTGTTCCAATTCTTTCATGATATAAATTTGTAACTGTATAGTTTTTTATACATAATAAAATGGAAAAAAACTATTTTTATATAGAGTTATAATAAGCTTTTTAAAGTTACAAAATTATAATTTTGATAGCCATTATAAGTTCTTCTTGGTGAGACATACGATTAACTGTGAGCATGTTTTTTGGCTGTTTCTTTTTTTGTGTCAAATGATATCCTATTTATACAACTTATTTATATAGTATTTACAATAGCAAATATATGATTTTACACAATTTACCACCCATTATTATTTTACCATTACATAATCGAGCTTTCTTATGAAATTTGATTCAGCCAATAAGAAAGAAGAATCTGTCGTACAAAATTATTAAAAGCAAGCAACCAATCACGGAAAAAATTGAACTTTGGTAGCTAAAAGTTTTATAGTTCTCTTGAAAATAATCTAGATTGTTATATATATGGTTTACACACCTTCACAAAACAATTCGCCACTTTACGTAAACGACGTAAATTCGTCAACATCTTACCAAAGTAGTGAAAGTGGATTTAATAGTAGTTCTCAATGGTTACGGAGACGTTTCGAGCAAAGCCAGGAAATTTCTTCCGCGTCTGAAGTTGGGGATCAGTTTTCTCCGTTACTATTGCGTGGAAAAAGTGGCAATAAGTTAACTTTAGGAGCGCGATCTACAGGGTTACAACCTTTTAATACTTTAAGTCCTGTTCAAAAGCAACATTTGCCTACGCCAACTTCACCAACTTCACCAACTTCTCCGGCATACTCACAATTACAAGGATTGATTAGAGAACAATCAAATCAATCACAATTCCAACCTAGTCCAATGACATTTCAATCAACACAATTTCAACCTCAGCCAACCCCTCAACTTCAACCTAGGCAAACATCACTTCAATCAAATCAATTTCAACTTAGGCCAAGAATTGATACAACAGGATCCATTCTAGGCAGTACTCAGGGCATTGCCCAACAGGATAATACTAATAGACTTATGTCCTTTGTATCGACACCTCAGAATGCAACGCCATTTTTTCAATCAAATATTGCGCCGATAAATGTACCAACCTATACTGGTTCTGTTAGGACTTCCGATACGACATTCGGTGTTAGTATATTAGGTAATCGATTTGAAGGACAACCAATATATTTAAGTGAGCAAAATATAATTGGACATGATATGTCAGGTATGAAGGCACGAATAGCCGATACACCTCTTGTTCAATCAACACCCGCACCTAAACCAAGACAGCAACAGACGTCATCTCCTCATAAAGTAGAGGATGTACCTTATCTTGCTCGTCTTCTAATTGTTGAGCAAGAATTACCAAAGAATGAATTTGAAGTAGAAAAAAGTAATAGTGTGAAGACATTGATTTTTAACTTTTGTTTGATGATTGTTTTAACAATTCTAACTTCCACAAAACATTTTCGGTATGCGTTAATTAATTAATTATTATTTTTGTTTCCATTTTATTATGTATAAACTAATTATTGTATTTGAAAAGGCAATTTGAAAACTATACAGTTACAAATATTATAGGCAAGTCTAGCTTATTATTATCATCATCATTATTCTTGAGTATTGACAATTCTCTTTTATTATACAGGATATTTGTTATTTGTTATGCCCGTATATTTCATATATAGAGTATTTTATGTAAATATTCAATGGAATAAAAAGAAGAAACAGATTAATCAGATTAGAGAACAATTAAGTAAGTCGTATATAATTTGAATAAATGGTTTTTTACGATAGATCTTTGACCTTAAAAAAAACTATATTTATAGTGAAAGAATTGGAACAAAATAGTTCATATGATCCTTCATGTTACACAATTAGCCCTTCACGCCCTTCAAGAAGCATAGATACACCAACAACAAGTACTGTCGTCGTATCATCAATTCCTACACAATCTACAATATTTCCTTCTTCAATGAGCTTACCTTACACCGGCATCTCAACTTCAACGATTATTCCTTCTGCATCTTCATCGAATTCATTCATCAATGCTTGGGGTTCTGGTGGAACACCTTTTCCACAGCGAATTCCTCCTACGACGAAGTATCGTCAAGCAACATATGTAACTCCGTCGAAGATTGATGAAAATGTGATTACCGTTGGCAACGTTTTAGCTCGATTACAACCAAATCCAAAGCCTACTGATAGAGAAACCTAAATACAACGATTTTTGTAAAAGCGCCTAATTGGTTGAATATTTGAACATTGTATACACGTCTTTTTAAATTATGATAAAAAAAATTATATTTTATTTATTACTGTAAATAAATAATAAATAAATAATAAATAAATAATTTGTTATTGTCAAAAAAATCAAAAATCAAAAAAATCATGTCATATGTTAACCTATTTATTATAAATTAAAAGTAATTATCAAAAAGATAAAAAACCACTAAACTATATATTATTAGCTTATTAAATATTGTTTATTCTAATTCCATCTTTAATGTATTTCAAAAAAAAAAAAATTTGAACCAAAAATTTTTGAATGAAAAATTACTCATTCTCTTTTAAAGTTGTAATTACAAATATGATAATTGCATTTTATAAGTTGTATTGAGAAAAAACCACTAAAAAAAAAAGACAAAATATATTTATAAGGGAAAAAATAAAGTTCTAACATTTTTTTAACACATTAATTTAACTGATATTTTCGCTTTGATTCTCTTCATTCATTTCATTTATGGTTTGCCCATTCCTCATTTTAACTTGATAACCAAATATATGTTGTAACCTCAAAAGTTGAATTTTATGTTTATCATCTAGATATTTAAAATCAACAAAATTAAATTTTAATCAAAATAATATAAATATTATATTATAATATTTCTTACCTTCCGTTGGAATTATATTATCTTCCGTATTATCATGATCGTTTGAATTTTGAGGAACTAAAAAAAAAAAAAAATTAAAAATTAAAAATGAAAAATCATGATTAGAAAATAAAAACAAATTTTTTATTATAATTGAAAAACATACATAGATTTTTAACTTCCGCGATAACATTAGCTCTTTCCTTTTCCTCTTCTTCTATAGCAATGTTGGCAAGTCCACGGCGAATATAACTTTGGAAATATGGACCTGTTCTAGATAATTGTGTTGTTATCTTGCCTTCCATTTCAGGGTGTTTTTTTTGAAATTCATATAATTCATAGATACCCTGAATATACAAAATTTCAAATAATTTAAATCTAATTATTATCTAATTCTAATGATTATTTATTTAATTTACTCCCTATAATTACCTTTTTCGTTCCTTCTCTCGTTCCAATTTTAAGGAAAATTTGAGTTAGCTGTGCATTCATTTCTACTTCATGTGAACCTGATGAACGTGCACTACTAGTTGGTGTAGGGAATTTCGGAGTCATTGGAGTGCGTGGTGACGATGGGCTTACTGGCTCTGAAGCATTTGACATTGTTTCATTAATGTGACCGGGAACTTCGGGTATCGGAGAACTTCTAGCTGGTGAACTTCTAGCTGATGGAAAATTTCTTGCCGATGGATTATTCTTAATTGAAGCTTCATTAAATGGTGAAGTTGTTGCAGTATCCGTAGTGGCATATGTCACGTCGGAACCGGATGAATTAAAAGATCTGACTGATGAAATTGGAGATGAACGACTTGTTGGATTGTAAGCGATTGTTGGATTGCTAGCTAGCTTATCCTTCTTCTTAACCTCAACCATATGATGTAAATAAGGATAAACATAACTCCTTTGTGGTTCTTCAATAAGATCTAAATGATCGTATACATTATCACCAAGACCAGTTACCAATTCAAGTAACAGTGTTTTAACTGTACGTAAAGGCATTTCGCCTAGTGGTACCTTCTCTGCTGCTCGTCTTTTCCATTCAGCTGGTGGTGTTGCTAAAAAGAAGCTATTGAGATCACGTAATAATTGACTCGGTGAAAGGATACCAGCCTTCAAATTATCTTGAACTGTCTTTGCTAGTTTCCATAAACATTTCATAATTAGTTCAGTAAACTTCGTTTGTGTGGTAGCAGTAGCCGCATCAACCTCTCGCAAATTAGATGATGATTTTTCTAGTATTGAAATTAGTGCACTAAAAAAAAAAAGAAAATATAATAATGAGTAATGAATGATGAGTTATAATTTTTTCTTTATAAAGGAAAGTTATATCACCTATACGTTCTGTTACGATTACTATTTTCAAGTACCTTAACCATTGAGACATTAAGCGCTTTTGATAATTGTTGACCTCCATCCACTACTGAGAGATTAGGATCTAACAAACGATGTGCTAGCTCAGATAATAAACGGTCAAGTGAATCTTGAGACACTGCTAATGCCAAATTCTTATTTGAAAATAATAGTACTAAAGCATTGACAAGATGTTTACATAGTCGAATTAAACTCTGTGATTGTGGTTGAAGTTGTGTATAAGAAATTCGAACTTGAAATGCTAAAGCATTTACGAGTTCATCAACATCAGGAATAATGGATTCAGGAGAAGTGTTCAAATGTTTGTCCAATTCTTTCAAAGCCTCAATACTTTGTTGAAACTCTGTACTCATAATTTTAGTAATGATAATCTCAACCATAAAAACAGACCCGCGCTCAGATGTTCGCTGTTTAGCAGGAGGTAATCCAGGAGAATGCGGGATCACATTTATTTCATTATTATCTGATAGTGAATGTTCTGAATTATCAACTTCTATACTAGACTTAGTTTCATTTTCATCGATGGAACCATTAGGTACTGCAGGAATTTGCCCATTTGCACCATTCATACCGGGACGAATTCGTGAAAACTGTAATCTTGACGGAGGTGGTAAACCTCTTCCAATCCCACTTGGAATACCACCTCTTTGAGAAGGTGACTGAAGCCTACTAATACCGCTAGGTTGTGCTAATAAAGAAGGTGGTCCATTTGTAGGTATACTCGATGCATTAGGATTTGCTGTGGCTAATGGATTTGCTAATGATGTAGTAGGTTTATTAAATGTTGAATTAGCTGGTGGTCTAAGAATTAAACCTGGTGGCAATTTTGCTGGTTCATCATCATCTATTTCTTCATCATCTGCATCAGCTTTATCCTTGCCTGATTGTGCAGCAAGACGAGATTTTAGTCCCGCCTTTTTAGCATCCTTCCTCGCAGCAGGTCCACTAGGGCCTGTTGGTCGAACGGCTTCTATCATCGGCATAATTGTCTGTTTTACTGCACCTTTCAAATCACCACATTTTGCTACCACATAATCATATCCGGCACTTTTTACTATAGGCCCTAAACAAGCCTGCGCTGCTTTTCTAACTTCACCATTCCGATCTTGTAAACAAGATAGAATTGGTTGAACCATGGGTGACAAATCTGGTAACGCATTCTTTTTATCACTCTCTACGGCTTCCTTGAGGCGTTCAGAGAGCCAACTCAATAGATCTTTTCTTAATAAAGGATTATCTGTTGCAAGACTTGTTGAAAATGAACCAATTAAAGGATCGAGCCCACAAGCATTTGCTAAAGCATCCAAAGTACCAATAGCACCGCCACGGACTGTTGCTTTTTTATCTGTAAGGACAGCAGTGACTGGCGCCACTAATATTTTAACATGCCTGTCAAATGGCTTGCCCATTGCTGTAGCAAGCTTGGCAGTTATATCCAAAGCCATCATTTGCAAGTTTTTATTACTATCCGATAGCCTCGCTTTTAGGATAGGAATAAAGTCACCTATAATACAAATATTGTAATTGAAGAATTGCTTTGCTTTTTTCACCACTAGTTATATATGATTAACATACCTAAGCTTGGTTTAATTTTCTTATTAGCATCAACAATAGCAAGAACTTGATCAAGTGCATCCTTTCGAACTTTCCATTTATCATCGTTGCATTCCTATCAATAATAATATTATTATACCAACTATATACCATTAAGCAAGGATAATATGTTCACCAATTGAAGAAACTTACAGCCATCATTTTACTAGTAAATTGTGCGCTAATATCAACTTTAGGAAACAATTCTTCTAAAGTATCTTTTCCACTACCACCTTTGCTTATAACATCGACCTTTTTAAATGTATAAAGTATAGGTTAAGTTAAAAATCAATATTTTAGGTTATATATAAAAATAATGATTGATGGTACACACGCTTGTTTTTAATGCTTTTGGAGGTGCTTCATCAGCAACTTTCTCAAATTCACTGTCAATTGTTGCTAGCTGTGTAGGATTTAAATCTTGAACAAATGTCCTTATATCTACGACATAAATAAATTTAATATTATGTCACAATTGAGGAATATTCATGATTATTTTTAATAAATTCCTTTTTACCTGGTCCTACAAAAATGCGCAAAGCTCCCAAAACAGTGACAGAATTTGTGCGAACAGCCGCATTAGAGCTGCCTAATGCGAACTTGAGAAATTCAATCAACTCACGCACTTGAAGAGCTGCTATTCCAAACTCCATAATAGCACCATGCATCCATGTTAAACTATCGGCTAATGTCTTAGGTGCTTTTGCTTTACGCAATGGCTCATATGCTGTAATTTAAAAGGTTTTATTAGTATAATTGTATATATTTATTAATTTATTAATTTAGACAACATAATTACTAACCTTGTGAAAATACAAATTGTAAGGATATTTTTTCGGAAAAAGCCGTTAATGCGTCTCCTGCACTTTTCTTTAGTTTAATGTCACCCAACTTTTCTATCAATACTAAAATAAAGTATGTAAAAATATAAATATAGTATGTTTTGATGAATAAAAGTAGTGAAATAAGATCAATGCATTTTACTTGGTATTGCTAATGCTGCCGCTGGTTTTCCAAATGACGGAACCTTTTGACAAAGTATCTCCATTATATTGAATGCTTTTGATAAAATCTAAATTTAAAACTTAGATTAACACGTATTATACAATATTATTCATATTTTAATATAATATAAACCTGAAAATTGCTTTCTTTCCAGCCAGGTTTGAAAGAAAGAAATCTTATAAATAACTCCGCTTCTACTTCAGGCGGATCCATCTCTTCCAATGTGGTTAAAAGGTTCTCAATGGCTAATATGATAAGAAAAATAGTAAAACTTCTGCATAATTCCAAGCAAATAAATTTATTAAAATAACAAACCCGCTAAACGCAATTTCCAATTCTTTTCACTCAATCCCGCAGTCTGATCTTCGGAAATCAATTCAGCAAACTTGGACTCAACTTCGTCGTTAGTAAACTTGTATTTGATAACTTCTTCCTTCACTTTTCCACTCTTCTTTGGAGGAGACGTAGCAACAGCATTAGCAGAAGCTTTTTTGGGAGGACCTCCTGGCTTTGCTGTTGGGGTAGATTTTCCAGCAGGAGCTGCCTTCTTAGGTGCAGATCCCTTCAAAACAATTCCCCATAAAAAGGCAAAATGAGTTGAACTATTCAATAACAATATCAAAGAAAGATTAAATTAACTACTCCGAAATATGACGCACAGCTTCTTTTTTTGTCACAGCTTTTCCCGAGGATTTCCCTTTGTGTGCATCTGCTTTGGCTGGAGGCTTTTTCGCCGGAGCAGAATATTTTACTTTAACTTCGGCCTTTTCATAAAATTCTTTGACTTTTCCCTTTTTTATATCGTCAAGGCCTTCCAAAAAAGTGTTCATCGTCTTCTCACCAATGACTTTCATCATTGTTCCCAATCCTTCAAAAGCTGAATTACGAACAGGTTCAAAACTGTCCTCAGAAGCCTTCACCATCATCTCAGTTAAAGATTTAATTTCAGCCTTTTGTGGTGCAATTTTAGTATTTTTTATACATCTGACAAGCCATTTCATGGACTCTGATTTAACTTGCGGGTTCTTGTGTTTTCCGGCCGCCAATATGTCCTCAGATACATCAGAAATTGTAACCTGTAAAATAATAAAATTTATTAATTAGTTTAATAAATGTAAAATTACAATGATACTAATATTTACACTTAAAAATACGGCATCCAGTGCCGAAGCCAAAGCATCAACTACACTTTGTTTTCTTTCTTTAAGTTTTTCTATCATGGGACCTACGACCTATATAAAATAATACATTAAAAAGTATTCAATATCAAACAAATAATTAATTGAGCGTATAAATTACCGTCGGTTTATATTTTGCAAAAGCTTCACGTAAACCCAAGGCCAACGCATCTATCACATTAGCTGCGATTGTAACTACTAGAACATTGGAATCTGACATTCGCTACAATTTTAAATAACTCATAAATTAACTTCTCATTCAATGATATTAATCATATTTACAAAATATTCTCACACCTTGGCAAGGGCGGCAGTTAAATCGGAATAATTATTATCCACAATCCTCGGTGTCTTACAGATTTCTAACAAACCCTCCAGAGCTTCTTTCCTTTCTTTCCATTTAGTAGAACCCTAGAAGGATATATGATGTTATTTCAAGAATCTCTGAAAATTAATATCTTATGACATATATTACCAATCCAGTATAGAATTCTTTGGACAATTTTGACAAAACATCGACCGGTTCTGCTAAATCATATGCATCAATCTCTTTTTCTTCTTCTGCTTCAGCTTCATCACCTAATATATGAATTTCAAAATTATTAAGAAGATAAATCTAACAATATGCCTTATAATAATACAGAATACTACCTCCACCAGCTTCCGCCGCTGCCTCTGCTGCAGCTATTTGTGAACGTAATAATCGTTCTTGTTGAGGTTTTACTTGTGGTAATTTTTCAAATGCTTCATTCAATTCTTTTATCTATAATTAATTTAATAATATGAAATCTGAAGTTTCCAAATAACAAGAATGTAACTTGATATTTTCTATCTTTAATTTTACCTGTACAGGCTTTAACTCTGATAAATGTGGATCAATCGCTTTACCCAACCACTTATATAGTTCTATTACTAATTGTGTTCCCTAAAGTAAATTAAAATTAGTTTATGAAAAATAACACGATAAATCTTCTTTATACAGTAAAATGTATTTAATTACCTCATTTCTCACATTCTTATCGGTATGTGCAAATATTTTTGGTATAATTTTTAGAATAGGCTTAACATTCACTGTTTTTGCACCGTAAAGTCTTTATAGAAACGTTTAACTTTAATTGAACTATCTATCATATTAAAATAAAAGGCAATCCAAGGATTTATATGTAAAGTAATGCAGTACCTAATTGTCTCCTTAAGTGCTTGAACAGATGTAGCAACCAATTTAGGTTGTTTGGCATTTAATCCAACAAGGACATCTTCCTAAAAATAATTATTATTAATTAAGACTTTCATTTTTAATGATAATTATGCTATTCACACACCACTATAGGATCTGGTATATCAACTTCTATATATAACAGTATGAGTTCTATTGCTTTAGATTTTGTTCCGGAGCGGCTCGAGCCGAAACCCTTATCAACAACGGCTGGTATAATGGAAGCCCTGACCCTGCAATTGAGAAGAGACTACCAGATTAAGACCTGAGGAAACCGTTGAAATCGAATAATAGGCACCAGTTTAAAAACTGGTCATATCTATTGACGCGCCAAAAACTTTTGGATGAAGGTTATTGACTAGAAAGAAAATTTTAAACTTACCTTAGCGGATTTGGTGCGTTATCAACAAATGCAATCAATGTCGCTAGACCATTTTCTTGAGCGACAGCATTAGAGTCTGTCGCAATGTTTTTCATTAAACCCTCATAAGGCCTAAAGTCGCTTTCACTATCTGATTTTTTAAATAGTTTTGCAAGTTCCTCATAAGCTCCAACCCGAACTTTCCAAATCTAAAAGAAACATAATAAGAAAATATTATATCACCAAAGATTAAAAATGAACGAGTATTTTAGAAGGAAAAAAAAAAACCTTATGTGTTACTCGTTCATTAAGAGGTATTGATGAATAATCATCCTCAGGTGCTGCCATTTATATTAAGCAAAACAGACGTGGTGCGGTTTTAAAGAAGTATATGATATAAAAAACAATGTAGGAAACCTTTATATAAAGGTATAAGTGTAAAATGACGAGCAGTGTAAAATAATAGAAACAAGCGCGAGACAAGTACAGAATAGAACCGTTGTAATAAAATTTATTTGGGAATTACACAACATATTAAATCTAGTCAAAAGTCGTTAATGTCAATTAAGATCATGTGATAAATCGAAAAAGCTTTTTTATCTCGTGTTTGACCAGAATTTATTTAGCATTGCATGCCTGCAAGCATGGATTAGAGGTCAGGTTTCCTGAGTTGTTTGACATTCTGAGTATCAAAGTCACCTGGATGATGTGATCTATATACGCAACTGGAGATTACCATTTGGGCAAATCTTATAATGTAGTCAAGTAATTGGATCCTGGCTAAGGTTCACTAGTGATGACATTCACTATAGCTGAGAAGTTCTCTCTAATTCGGATTACTGGTTAGAATGTATTAATCTAGATAGGCACATTGAGAGGGTATACTAACATGGTAGATAACTTGAAATATAGGGAAATACCTAAGATTGTTACCGGTATAATACTGTACCTTAATGGAGTCTAGTTTATTTTGGTAGCTAGGCTTAACTTGTAAAGAAACAATTAGCATTAAAGTATCTTAAAAAAAAAAAAGAATAATTATAAGTAATATTAATTTCTAATAACTTAATATGATCAAGTATTGTTATTCACTTTTAAATATTTTGTATTTAGCTTTTTTTAATATTTTTTTCATTATCAGTAATATATGATGATAATGATGATTTGCTATTATTATTATTAGAATCTTTGCTTATATACTTTTCTGATTTAAAAGCATTGAAAAATAAATTTTCATCTTGATTAAACTGTAAATCATCTTGCATTTCAATATCAATATTCAGATCAAATAAAAGTAATAAATTCCTTTTGAAAACTAAAAAAATGTTCTATTTGTGATAAAGGATCATTAATATTCCACTTTTCACTTAATAGTATTTAAGTAATTTGAACTCAAATATTTGATCAAATCAAATTGAATCAAATATTTGTCGAATTAATATAAAATAATTTTGATTTTTATAATGATATATTAAAACTTTAGAATAACTTTATTTTAATTAAGAGAACTGTTAGTAATATGCACTAAAAAATTTCAAAGATAACTTTTATAAAGTAAATTTAGTAATAGGTGAATTTTTACTAAAAAAACTTAGTAAAATAACTTCATAGTTTTAGTTTTACTAAGAAAACTTAGTAATAATCACTATTGTAGCTTTGGAACTATTTTATTAGTAAAAAATGTTTCTAAAACTGCAGATGCATTTTTTTTACTAGGTTTCTTAATAAAATAATGTTTCCAAAGCTACAAAGGCATTTTTTACTATAGTTTCTTAGTAAAATAACATCTTTGAAACTATAGAGATATTTTCTACTATATTTTCTTAATAAAAAGGTATTTCTGAAATTGCAGAGGTGTTTTTAATATAGTTTCTTAATAAAAAGACATTTTTGAAACTGCAAAGATGCTTTTTAGTATGATTTCTTAATAAAAAGACATTTTAAAGCTGCAGATGTGCTATTTACTATGGTTTTCTTAGTAAATACTACCTCTGAAGTTTTAGAGATAAATTCAAATCAAATCAAATCAAATCAAATCAAATCAAATATTTAAATATTTGATTTAAATTTGATCGAATCGAATCAAAGATTAATTTTAATTTGATCAAATAAATTATTTTTTGATTTGAATTTGATTGAATCAAATTAAATATTAATTTGTATTTATATTTGATTTGTTTTTTAATCAAATATTTAAATATCAAATTGAATTGCAGAATTCTAATATTTATATTATCATAACAAATTTATCATAAGCTTTATAATTTGTGATTTAATTAATTTGTTATATAATGAACTAATTAGTTAAGAAGCAATTGGAAGATATATTGATATTATCAGTCTTTAAATTATTGATGTTAAACCTTATATTTCAATAATTAAGCAAAAATAATGTAGTTTAGACATATAAGCAATTTTACTAATATATTATATTCTCTTTCTTTATTATATGTACTTAATATATCTAAATTTTTAGCTGAATTTAAAGTTATATGGTGGCTATCACCTATAAATTGCACTAGTCTAAAATTTTGGATGTAGATCATCATATAACTTTTATAATAAATCATATGCTATACATTTTTCTTTATCACGAAGCATATTTATAATTTTATTTTATTTAATTCTGATAGTACATATTCAGGGATATAACAGTGAAACTTATATTTTCTGGCAGCATATTCTGCCAACTTACTAGTGATTTCCTTTCTATACAAATCCATGTAACACCACACTTTTCTGGTGAATCTTCTTATTGTAATTGTATTAACAGATTCTAAGGCTGCAAAAATGACATGTTATAAGCCTGATTAAGAATAGTTGCAGTTCTCTTGAACATATCTTTTGGCTGCATCTCAGTATTGCTCTATATAATTTAGTTTACAGTAGAACATTAGGTAAAAGATACATTTATGTTCAACTTCCAGTATACTTCTTCTAACGTACTTTTTTGTAATAACAAATCTGGCTGTAATGAAATGATTATTCATATGTAACAGTTCATCTGATTTATATTATCAACTTTATCCTGCATAATTTACAGTCAGTACTTAATCTATCTTTTCACAATTCACGTTTGATTAATACCTGTTTCATTTCTTTAAATTCATTTTTTTCATTGATTATTGATTGATAGCAGTTGTCTAATCTAAAAATCATATTTTACATTTTCAGTTGCTTATCTTCAGATTTTAGGTTTATCTGACTTGTCACAAGTGTATCAAATCAGTATGCCTTATACTTTGAATTATTATCAGATACAAACAAGGTAATATAATTTGAAAAAATGGTTTCAAAGATCGGTATAGCCTTCGTTTTCACTTGTTTGACTAACTTTTCACTCATCTAGTATCTGTTCTGATCTTTTCTCAGTTGAATATAAACTTGAGCTTCTTCAAATATGAATGGGTTTCTTGACATTGCTATGAGTTTAATTTAAATCAGCCGTATTCTTCTGTCAAAATTCACTAATCATAATAGAACAACCATTTCCTTTCTTGCGTAATATCAACTCTCTGAATTTTGCTCAACCTTCTCATTTACCATTGTTTGAGTAAAACATATTTTCATCATGCATTACAAAAACTATTTCCTTTTCATTAAGTTCTAAAATTGACGGTATCCATTTTATATTCTCTCTTTTATATTTCGTTATACACTTTCCATAATTAAATATCGTGTCTAGAAACAATTGTTTATATCTTATAACATTAGAATGCTTGTATCTATCATGATATATGCCTATTTATTATAATGTAAGATTAGTTGAATAAATTTTTTTATTTTTTAATAATTAATTCATTCTTACCTTGCTTTTGTGATTGAAAAAAATATCCAAGCACATTAAGCCAATGCACTGCAGTTGCAATACCAATGTTTTTTTAATATTTCTGAATTCATAAGAAGTTCCTCAATAAATTCTTTAAATTTTAATGGAATGATCATCCCTCTCTGAGATCAGATCCATATATGGGAGGTTTGCTAGGAAAATGGGGCTCTGAGACTAAAAAATTTTTTTAAATAAATTAAAAAATCAAAATAAACAAAAAACTAGCTTTAAATTTGAGGCGAT